GTATTAATATATTTTATTATGGAATTGTATGTTTTATTAGGGTAAAATGTTTTTTTTTCTATTCTGTGTGGTATTTTGAGCATTTATTCGTTTGTATTAATTGGTATATCCCATTAACATATTAACCGACAGGACTTTAGGAGAATATTTGAACACATTAATTCTATACAAATATTAACTGATGGATAAAACTTAAATGTAAGAAATGTATTGCGTTTTAAGAAACAAATCTTTATTTGAATTGGAATACAGTCAGTTGAAAGTCCGAGTACTTCAATCTTTTTAGAAGTAAAGTCAGATCTTTATATATCAGACTTACATGGTAATTTTTTTTTTATTCAACTTATTTATTGAAAAATATTACAACCTTTCTCAAAGGACATACATAGTAATTAATATTGTTAACTAAGTGAGACCTTCGGGGAGTGAGAGTTCACCGTGAGAGGCCTCTGGTTTGGGTCTCGCTCAACGATCCAAAAAAGAACAAGGAGCTTCCTCGAGTAACTATGTGTTGATGTTGGAGAGCTTACCATATTGGCCGAGAATATTATTCTAAACTCTGGGGATCATCCACTATCACTTATAAAGTAATTGACTGTGAATTTAGGGTGTCTTTTTTCATTTATCTATTAATTTATTTATTAATTGAATTTTTTTAGCTTTGTCTTTTCTTTTTATCTATATTTATAGAATTGCGTGGATATATGTGTGTGCGATTTAGTCTAGTATTCTAGCATTCCAATACTTTTTTTTTTCGGAAAATGTATGTGTTGTAGTGGTAATCGTTTAATGTGGTACATTAATGATAATGTATATTATGACTAGTGTTATGAAAAGGAAGAAAGAAAAAGTGACATCTTTGTATAATGATGGAATAATGTAATGTAAGAACTATGTCCATATGGATTGATCAGTATGCTGTGTATAAAGCAACCCTATGTAGTAGGGCAGCATTACTTTCAATAAAGTATTTCTCTTTTTCTCTTTCTCTCTCTCTCTTTCTCTCTGATGATTGTCACTATCATGACATGTGCAGATAGATATTTCAAGTGAGAAAAAAAAATGTATTTCTAAAAAAAAATTTCAATTTATTAACGTTTATCAATAAATAAGCCAAAAACCTAATTTAAGGAACTAATAATCGAAAGAAAAAATAAAAAAATTATTAAATAGTTCAAGCTTTAAAACAGATTAAAATAATGGAAGTAAATCGATATTGCATTAATTACTAAAAGCTTATATAATTATTAACTTTTATTATTATGAAGACTTAATTACAAAAAATTAAAGAGAAATCCATTAAATTGCTCAATGTAAAAAAAAATATGTAGAAAAAATGCAAAATTGAACTAAAAATAATGTTAATCAACCAATGTAATATATTTGAAAAAAATCTCACTTTTCCATGATTAAGCGAGACCGGCTTTCTTCGTTGAAGTTTTTAATTTTTTTTTTTTTGTGGAAAATTCCTATTTTCTATAGTAAATAATAATATCGATATAAAAATTATCTTTAAAAGATCAATGTATCGATGTATCGATATTGTTTTATTATCTCTCTGAATTGGTTTAGATACTTCTTTAACCACAAAACATAGTTGTCATTATATTCTAGATGAAGCAAGGAACTATTATATCTTATATATTTTAGTTCGCCTTAATGTTTAGCTATGATCATATCTTAAGGTCGAGTACGGCTTTGAGGTACTAGATCTCACATCGTTTTCAGGTTTAGGATGCGTCCTCGCACAGTGGGAAAATTCGCGACATCGGCTAAATATATATATATATATATATATATATATATATATATATTTCAATTGAACTATTTATTCAATAGAAACTGTAAAAAAGTATATAATTTCAACTGAAAATATTCTCGGGAACTTCACAAGGTATCAATGAAACAGTTTATCTAGTTTTGGAAGAAAACAATAAAAATAGATTTTGATATATTTAAATAGATGTCGCAAATTTTTCCTTACTAGTCCCACTACGCGCCGTAGTCCTTTAATCGTTTTACTTAGTTTAAATGAATAAATAGTACAATAGAGTAAGAGGTAGGGGGTGTTGGTTTTCAATAGTACAATAAATTTGCAAAATAAATCTTCTAGGGCCGTTTCTTTTATTCTTTGCCTACGTTTTACTATGAATTCATTTACTACACTCTTACCACAAATACTCACACATATATTTTTTTAAAAATATCAAGTAGGATTTGATGACCGAGTATTAAGATAGGAGCTAACGATTCTTTGGCACCGCTTTGAATTCCGTTTTGGGTTCTGATTTTAATGGTTGATACTTAATAAATAATAATTTTCAAACTTTTATTAAAATATATTTTCTACCACTTTGAGTATAAGGCTTTAAATCATACAATATATACACACATTAGTTTTGAATTTATTTTTCTCAAAAAAAAGTTACAAAAAATATCCTTTTTTTTTCTCTGAGGAGCGACTGTATGTTCTATGGAACTTGCAATTAGTGTGGTCATTCTAAATAGGCCAACAATTAAAATCATGATAATTGCTAACCTAAATATGTAAACGCAACTGCATGATTTTCTGAAATGGATATAACTGCAATTTTCACCAAAATCTTGTATGTAACACGAATTGAACATTTTATAGTTCATTGAAAATATAATGAATTAGTTATAAGGAGGTAGGTTTAAAGAAATAAAATGAAAGTTATTAGTTTTTGATTACAATCATCCACGTTTTGTTATTTTCTCTAATTATAATTTTTTTTTTTTATGGCAACATAAAAAAAGGTGCATTAATCACTAATTATATAATGGTATTGTATTGTTATAAAATAAGGAAAATGAAAAAAATAACAATAAGCAACTTGTTGTTCCGTATCTAAGATCTTTGTGTACTTTTTATACAAATGTCATCATTGACGTTCAGCAAACCTTTTCTATTGATGTAATTATCAGAACACTTCCTGGTGTTATTATTTGTTCTAACTATTGTTTGATGTAAATATAATCCTGTATTAAATTGGTGGCAAATACGGAGACAAAAAAAATGTTTATTCATCGACTTGTATTAATGCCTTTGGTAAAAGGAAATATCGTAAAATATATTAAGGTATTTATTCCTAATGGCTTGCTTTTTGCGTGAAAATATTTATCATTCGCATCAAAATCTTGGATTTTTTATGACATATGTGTATTTATCGTACATAGTTTTAATTATTAATTTTTAGAACTTTTTTATTTTTAATATAGTTAATTTGAAAATCTAATCTTCTATTTTTATTTGTCCTTGCCCATTTATGAAATATATTATAAGGGATAGTATTACTATTGAGAAAAGCCTCTTGTTTTTATCAGGGAAATACTTGTCATTATGATTAGTTTTTGGTCAGAAACATGTTTTGTTTATTTGTACAAAAACGTTCATAGAGGACCAATAAAGTTTAATTTCTACATTTCTATCAATTAATGTCCTCTGAATTTAAATAACCAGATCTTGCGAAATGATCTACCTTGTGTATTTGGAAACTGTATAGTTCAAAAACGAAAACCCTTTCGAAACTTAAATTAAATATTTAAGATAGGTACATGTCTCGAGTTTTACAGGAGCTTTTTTGATGAAATCGATTGACTAGACATGTTTATTTTGATTATTGATTTGTCTTTTCATGATTTTTTTTAAACGGCTCCTACCATTTTCATTAAATTTGTTATATAAATATACAAATTAATGGTCTTTAGTTCAGTTAGTTCTCATCCAAGTTAATACAGACCACTGTCATTGATGTGTAATGAGAAATATTTTTTCTTATATCTTATATGAATCTTAAATATATATATATATATATATATATATATATATATATATATATATATATATATATATATATATATATATATATATATATATTTCAGTTAAATTTACCTATAATTGAAATATATACATAGTGATGGACAAAAAAATACATAGCAATGGTGAAAAATTTCAAATTCGAGATTTTGTTTATAATGTTTTTAGAGATGGCACCTATTTTTTTTCCCTTACTTTTAATTTAAATATTTTTTTATATCGTATAATAAAGCATTTTTAAATTTAAAAATATTATTAAAAGCGCTCACGGTATGTCAAAAAATATATTTTTTTAAATAATGTACATTGATATCATATGTATAAGACTGATATAGATTCTATGGTAACAGGTATTTGTATATTGTGCCTAATAGATACGGAGTAGCCTAAATTTTATATTTATTTCTCATTTTGTATTTGTTTCCTCTTTGGGAGAGATAATAAAAGTAGAAGACTGTAAAGAAATTAAAGATATTTCTGTTGGTTTCCTTTTTGCCTTAGGACGAATCATTCAAAATTAATGTCAGATTGCTCTCTGCTATGCATTTTTTTTAAAACGTCTTAGTTAACATAATTTCAATTATTAATCTGTATTTAATTTTTTTTATTTGTGAATTTGAGGATTTGATTTTTTTTTACTATTTTTACGATTTCTTTATGCTCTAGCTTAGATCATTTCAGAAAATTATTAAGAATTGAATTTTTCTGTAATTTAAGCATAACGATAAATGTTATTTCTTGAATGTTAGTGGTATATAATTTGAGTTATTGTAACTATAAGTGATATTAAAAAAAACTCTTTAATTTGTATTAAACAATCGAGATTATAACTCAATACGTCTTCATGGCATTTCCTTTCATTTGACACTTCGTTTGGTAAAATCCATTGGTCTTCAAAGGTGGAAAAGAGATTTATACCATCATATTTAATTCTACACGTGTATATGAGATATTACACTGTTAAATAAACTGCCATTTTAAAATATTTGTTTTCCAAAAATCACATATAAAATCACTCAAATGTTATAAAAGCGTTATTTTTTTTGGAACACTCGGTGTAGAGATAGTTTTGGTGAGTAAGCATTGAATCTTTGAACCTTTAATTCTTATTTATTATTATCACTAATATATGAAATATATGAGGGGCGTATACAGTACTTACGGCGTTCATGTAGTAGGTGACATTGATGTTGATTTTAACACACGTGCCTACCCTCTCTTGTGGATCTATGGCGCGGAGTACGAAGACACAGAGGCAGAGGCTGACTAGAAGAATATACAGAACCATGTTGGAACGAGGCGGAGTGAAACCATTGTGCCACTGTGGCAGGCACAGCACTGTTTGCACAATTGCTGAGCTCGCTCGCCGGTAAATCAACATCTCCCCCCCACCACTATCGTATTTCCTCTTTATCGCTCAGATAACCTCCTTGTTATCAGTGGCGTATGTTTCGCACATATCATTGCTGCACATAAGCAAAAATTAAAAATTAGTCTTTAATATTTTGATCTTATTACAGAATGATAAGTAATTATCGCGATTTCTTTTAGATCAAATTACTTTCCGACAGCAAGCAACGTATGCAAATTAATAATTTAACATTTTATTCATTCGCAACCTTGTATAAACATTGTCGAATCATAAAATAATATAGATTCTTGAATAATTGTATACATCTCTTCAATTCTCTGCAGTACCTCCCTCCCTCCCTCCTCCCCAACGCACTTATTTACAACAACATTAGGTAGATCTCTCACCCTAGCCTTTTTCAGGCATCTTCTGGTGTTCTCCGGCATAATTGTTATGCTCTTTTTTTTGGGTTGGAGATTTCATTTAATTTATTAAGAAATTGTTTGTAGTAAGTTGGTTTGTTAATTGACCGTCGGTATATGTAAGTCAATGTGTAAAGTGTTATTATCCATGATGCTTGAGTAATTAAGTCGTAGTATCTTAGACTAAAGTTTAGACGTTTTTTTATGTGTGTTGGGGGCCAAAAGCGAAAATCTGTAGACAACATCTACTTAGCACCGTACTGTCAGAAAAATATTTTTTTAATTATATATATTCATTCTTACTTGTCATGGATGTAACAATTAGCTGACTCTTTGTTGAATTTGACACTGTAATTTCAGGAATGAGAGAGGATAGTACCCAGCAGCACTTCTTTATTTACTTTTTTAATTCTGGACAAGAACTCTCATCCATCATCCTTTCAGTCGCCGTTTGATTGGCATATCAGAAAATAAAAAAAAAAAATATCTTTAAACTTCATATAAAATAAGGAAGAATAAATTAATAAACAAAAAAAAAAATCTCGAAGATGAATAAAACATACATACCTCACAAAACTTTATGCAAATTATAATACATGAAAGTCGATTAATAAAAACATTATAACATATATATATATATATATATATATATATATATAAAATGTTCTTTTTTACTGTTTGAATTACAGACTTTCTTGATCTTTTGTCATCTTAACCAGCCTTTTCCATCTCTGCCTATCTTGAGTTAGTTGTATCTTCATGACCTCCCACGCTGCCTCTTGCCTAATATTGTGGATTCCTGATGGATTTCTCCGAGCTATATGCCCCGCCTATATCTGCTTGCATTCATGTCATCAGCTATTGATGAACCAGTTTCTGCAAGCAGTTCTTTATTGGTTCTTTCCCTCAAAGCGTCAGCACTCTTAACTCACATCACTCCATTTTTTGGTGCGTAGACACCTATTTTATACATCTATAATACTTATTTTCTTCAATGTGTTTTGAAGTTTAGAACATCTTTCCCTTCTTTTTATTTCAGAAATAGTAAAGTAGCGAGAGAAACACAAGTATACGTACAAGCATTTTTGTGTATTTTCAAATCAGATATGATTACATCCACTATCTAAATAAAATATAATGTTCACATAATACAGGACGTGATCGTATGAATGAAATGCCTTAAGTAGCTATCCTAATTTTCAAAAGAAAGTATGACAACAAACCAATGAATGTTCTTAATTGAAAAATACAGAATTATGTTTTACTACAATGTAAGTTAAACAAATTTATCACAAAGACAAATCGCTTTATCGTAGCGAGTTTATCCTTTGTAAAACTTCCCTCGAATCGACCGCACCGCTCAATGAACTAATTCAAAAGTTTCTAAAGAATCTGCCAACGTAGGATTCTAGAAGTATTTCACGTTGCCCTAAATAAACAACTTCAAACTTCTTCAAAAACCACGAAAGCAAAAGTTAGCATTTTCCTTATTTCTTTAAAGAATTAATTCAGTGTATGGTTTGTGTTATCTTTCTCTAAATGATGTTTGAGAAAGTATTTCAAATATACGAAGTCGTAAATTAAAATAAATCATAAGAATTGATGTGGCTGATTTGAGTCATTTTTTTTTTTGTCTTATTTCATTCTTAAATTGTTAAGGGTGTCTTTGATGTTATTCAGTCCCATTACTTGGTCAAAAATATGTTTGTTAATCTTATCTTTACTCATTCTCATCATGTGATCAATGAATTTCAATATCTTTTTCTTCAAAGATGTTTCTAAATCTTCGACATATTCATACAATCCTTGTTTCTTTTTAGGTCAGTACTTCTCTCCGTTTTCAGTAGCTTTTCGGTAATGGCAACTCCCATTATCTCTATTCTATATAACACTACAAGTTTAACTACTGTTTCATAGTGTCTTATATTAGCTTTTCTGAAAAGGTTCTTCTTGTTATATAGGTTTTTTTCTATTCACCTAAGTCGGTCTAACTTTGCTTCTCTGTTCTTCATCGACTTTAAATCATTCCCATTGTATTTTAAGTTCATTCATTCAAGTTCTCCTAGTTATTTGGAATGTTTTACAGTTAGCATAATCCCGTATTTGGTTTTAATTTTCATTTCAGTTTCTGTATTATTTGACATTATTTTTATTTTTATGAAGGGTAACTCTGTTTTTTTTTATATTTCCTTTAGTTCCTCCATCTTGTCTATTTCTCGTTTTCTGGCAGAAATTACAAATCGTTCGCATACTCTAAAAATCTAACTTCTACATCATCTTTCCTCCTTCCTACCCTAGATCCAGACTTATTGGCTTCCCAGAATGTCTTTATACACACACACAACACACACACACACACACAGACACACACACACACATATATATATATATATATATATATATATATATATATATATATATATATATATATATATATATATTTTTTTTTTTTTTTCTTACCCTCCAAAATGTTTATTGAAACAATTACATATATAGTATACAATAATACAATATATACATGTAATAAATTCCTTCCACTGCCCGAGGGCATTTTAAGGATTGGGGATAGCTAAGGGTTACATATGTGGCAGAAGGCCTTGTGACTTTGACATTGAACGGGGAAGGAACATTCTGATATATATATATATATATATATATATATATAGTTAAGTTTAAATATATATATATATATATATATATATATATATATATTTAAACTTAACTATTTATTGGGAATAAGGTCATTTAATTATTATTTAATAAACTATTGAATGTTCATTTCTTCTGTTTATTGACGTTTCGATCCCGGTATTTTCTTTCTTTATTTTATTTATTTTTATTAGTCAACCATGGGATAGTCTTCAAAGCTAGAACTACAAATAGCTCAATCGGTACACAATATTACTTCCATATGTCTTTAATAACAATTATTTAAAAATGTTCGTAAAAAAAACTAATGAATAATTAAATTTAGGTAGCTTAATGTATGTGCTAGTGGACGGTGCTGAGACTGTCGGTGTGTCCCTGGCCTGATCGAAGCTCTATTTTTTAAAAGTAGGTTAAACATTTTTAAATAATTGTTATTAAAGACATATGGAAGTAATATTGTGTACCGATTGAGCTAGTTGTAGTTCTAGCTTTGAAGAGGATCCCATGGTTGACTAATAAAAATAAAGAAAATAAAGAAAATACCGGAATCGAAACGTCAATAAACTGAAGAAATGAACATTCAATAGTTTATTAAATAATAATTAAATGACCTTATTCCCAATAAATAGTTAAGTTTAAATTTAATACTCAAAGGTCGATTAAGGAAAAGTTGTGTATATATATATATATATATATATATATATATATATATATATATATATATATATATAGAGAGAGAGAGAGAGAGAGAGAGAGAGTGGGAAGGGATTCTGCCCTGAAAGCTATATCTTCCATTTGAATTCTCTATTTCCAAGATTCATATGTTAACTCTTCATTCCTTACTCGGACTGTACAAGAACATACAATTTGATTATGCTAATAAATATTTGAAACGTTCGCCGTAAGCCATTAGAAACCACTGAAAGCCGAATAACGACTAACTTTGTAGGCATTCAACATTAAATAGTCCGTAGCACCCAGAAGCTCATTATTTAGCTGGTTGGATACTCCGACAGCAGTAGTCTAACAGATTGCAAGCGTTGCCACTTCGTGTCCAGCCTGATTGCTTGTATTGCCTGTAATTAAATCAATGTTCTAACATCAGATTTATTCTTCTATTTCATCATTGTTTGATTCTTATTCGTTTATATTAATTTAAATGTTCATTGCTTTACCAATGATGTAAATTAAAAGTAGAGAAAATGTCAATCTCATGAAGACTGTTCATCCATGCATAAAGCAAATGCTATAATGTCTTACAAGGACAACTATTAAAACTACAAAGGAATATGAGACTAAAGAGGTTGTTTTGAATAACAATAAGAAATAGCTGTAAAACTTTTATTAATAACGTTTCATGTAGTGGCAATGGCATTTCAGATTGTCTGAATTGTTAAATGCATTTTAACTTAATAATTCTTATTAGAATCATTTAATATTTTTAGGACAATTTTATCGTTAAAAGCAACATGCTCACTATCATAAATAATACAATATTCAAGATAAAAATATTTTTTACACAATATAAAGGTTTAAATTATGTGTTATGAAATTTGTAACACTATTTCTACATTTATATATATATATATATATATAAATGTATATTTTCCTTACTAGACTAATTTATTTTAGTGAAGTTAACTTTTTATTTACAGATAACTGTATTCAATATTTTACTAAATTTTATAATTTTATTTATTTGTATTAAATCTCATATATTTGTTTTAATTTAGATGAATTTATCTATATTTTTATGAATTTATTTATATAATTATTATGAATTTAATTTATACACAATACCTTAAAGAGAAAGTATTGTTTAAAAAAACACACTGTATTAATCATTAAAAAGAAATGGTAATTTATTATTTAAAATATCTCCCCCATATTATTATTTATTTTAATAATTATTTATTTTGTAATGATACCCCCCATCAACTCCTTGTCAATTATTTATTTTAATT